AGTTATTTTTTTTCTTAATAATTTAATATCTTTTATGATATTCTAAGACGGGGCGAGTCTAGTCCTTATCCAAAAGGATAAAGAGTATACGAACACATTCAAACACAATTCAGAGTTTGTCATATTGCTATACTTTGTTTCGTTGTGATAATGAGCTCCGTGTGCGATGACGCTACGGTTTATCTTTGCGTTCTACCTTAAACTGCTGTGGTATACATTGCATAGTGCTAAGTGTCATAATATTAAAGTTCATGTTCTTGTCTGCAATTCTCAAAAATAATTGTTTCCAGTGATTGATAAGGCTGTAAGATCCAAAGTACGATTCCTATTTGATTACCCAAATCAATTAAAATGTATACACAGTTAATTAGATAAAAACGAAAACATAAGCTTCCTTTTATTTTCTAATTTTGCACCATTTCTAAATAGATAAAAAATTAAGAAAACAATGTAATTGTTATCGATCAAAGCGTTATAAAGCCAAAGAGGCGATGTATTTTGTAGTTACATATTGATCACCAGAGTGTACATTATAATCTATTAACTTCCTTTACGTCTTCCTGATCGAAACATAGTTTACCTTTGTTTATCTTGGCGGTGACGTAACGTGGATTACTACGCCGTGGTTGGTGTCCGTACCTGGATAAGGTGGTTTCCATATTCTATTTATACTTTTGATTCTTCCATATGCACGCGCCATATATACCTTATTGAGGGGGCGATGTCAAAATTTGATTAAATTTGTAGAAATTCACCCCTGAAAACACATTATAACCCTTTCAATTGAAAGGTTGAAATAGTTCATTGTGAAGCTTCAGGGGCGAATGAGTTAATGATAACGCAATAGTACAATTTCCATATGAAAGCAACAAACTGTTCCTGTGGTTATCTGTAGCAGATTCTTTAGCAGTAAGAGTCATCAACACTTATTTGTATTCCTCCGATCCGTCCAAAGTAACACGATAAAAAAAAAAAATGGTTCGGTGTCCTTTTATTTCGTAAGTTTGTAGTTTAAATCCTTTAGGCAAAACACTCGCCATTTATTTAAAAGAAATCTACATATATATAGGTCATCGGGACGAAATCTGGTAAACCTCCTATATCTGATCGTAACACCAGTGTTTATATTCGTTTACCTGGGCGGCGGATGTGGTGTGTATTATAACTCCGGGATTGGTGTTCGTGCCTTGATTAGGTGATTTCCATATTCTATTTTACCCCTGTCATTTTCTTTACAAGCAACATCCACCATACAGCAATGTGAAACGGATACATATATTGAACAGGGAAATAGGAAATATAGGTTTAAAGGTAAGGAGAACGATTTCCCTTAGTAACAAGTCTCAAGTAACAAAAATGAAAACGTGAAAGAGAAACAGCACTCGTTAGTGACAACGTCATGGTCCGATTTTGTTTTTTATTGAATTAGAGGACTGATACAGTCAATTAATTAAGGAACATAGCTAGAGAAACGGAGCATGAATAAATGTAAGGAAAACGATTTACAGAGTAACAAGATTGAATTTGAATCAACCTTCGAATTTGTTAATGATGCCATGGTCTAATTTTGGGGGTTTGAACAAGTGACATTAACAAAACGTTGCCTAGTTCGTTCTTTAGATGAGATGCCCTTTGGAGTAGGAGTAATTAAGGATCATTTGTCATTATAAATTCCATCAACAGTGTCATTTACCTACCAATGGTTACTGCGTCATAGTTAACATTAACTAAATGACTTTGTTTTATTAGATAAAACAACGGAATAATTGTCCAAGAAAATAGCCACATTGCACAGTTCTATTCAGTTCATTTCATTGGAGTCTTCTATTTAGTTACTGGCTCTACACGTTCCTTATGAAGACACAATGCGGGCTAAGTTGAGCGTGTTGTTGTTTGATGTCAACGATTTGACTTAAAGATGATGAACTGATACCACAGCAGAAACATTGAATATTCCCTTGTCCAAATTCTGAAAAATTAGAACAACTGGAATGTTTTACGATTGTTCGGTTCACAGTTTTGGCATTTTATCTTTACATATTATCGTATTTTACTCATGTATATTCAAAGAACATTTCATTATAATGTTTTTATTTAACAACGATATATAAATATTATATATTTAAGGAGGCACGGTAGTCAAGTGGTAGGACGCCGGGCTCGTGACCGAACGGTTGCGGGTACGAGTCGCGTCACGACACTGTGTTGTATCTTTGAACAAGATACTTTACTCCGCTTGTTTCACTCTACTCAGCTGTAAATGAGTATGTGGTTGGGTATTGCTAGAATGGTTGAAGACTGTCACTGCAGGTATGGCGTAAGAATTATACCTGCTGCCCCATTGCATGATCGTAAGAGGCGACTAAATTTGGTATCTTATCTTTTCTCTTCTTTCTAAACAACTTTCTTCTTCCTAATGTCTCCCTTGACAATGCCTCACTTTTGGTCTTTAGTTTAGCGTTCGCCCCTGTGAAGAAGGCTTTGGGTTCTGTACCCTTGCCGAGACATACCAGAGTCTGTAAAAATTGTAGTTTCTACTCCTGCTTAACGCTCAGCAATTTAGGAGTGGGACGACTGGTTCGCCCGTTGTCAGTTTAACGTGACCGGTTGGGGTGTTCTGCTGATTGTCTTCGGCAGTATGTTTCAGTGAGGTAGCACTATAAAATCGGCATCAGTTCCGTGCTATCACAAGGAGACAAACACGAACATAGCGCAGGTCCCCAAAACACACACACATACACTACACGCATGCATCTTGCACACATGGGAGGCCGTCCTTGAATGACCATAGCTGTTGATAGGACGATAAACGATAATAATCCAAACCAAACCAAACCAAACGATGTTTAATGCTAGCTGTGAACGCCGAAATGGCAGCACCGGCTGTATGCTCCCGAGGAAACTAAGAAATATATTGGCTGGTTGCAAAGGCCCTATAACCACGGATAATATTTTGTGAACCGTTTTGAGACGACCTACGAACTAGGTTGGGACAAACGGTATATAAGAACCTCGAATTATTATTATTATTATTAGTAATCGTGTTAAATAATTTCTGCTTACTTATCGAAAGATCATTATGATGACAATATAAATAATACGTCAATAAGATATTTACCGGTAAGATAAAATCCAGCAGCAACGAGATCATCAATATCCAGGGCCCCACTGTATCCACTCCAATACAGGAAGGACTGTCTGCGGTTCGACTCGTGTCTAAAAGGGTTGAAGAACAAACACCCAGGAGATCGTTGGACATGGAAATCATACGGACTTGTGCCGTTCAGTCTTGCAGCGTCGGCCTGCAGTCCACAGGCAGTGCATACTACTGTTGAGGTGTTGGGATTTATACAGGTAAATCCTCCTCCCACGAGCGGTTCTATTGGAATATGCATGTAAGACCAACCCCTGAAACTTGCTTCTCGTTGGCAGTCATTAGGTATCTCAAAAATAGGGTCATGTTCCAGGGGTTGATTCATCGTCACACTGAAAAGACCAAATTTTAAGTACAGAGAAAGAATAATAGTTTGTCAATGCAACCCAGAACATTCCTCTCAGTTTTATTTTAAAATTCAAACTGCTATACTGGTATAACAGCTAACATAATGCTTAAAAAACGAATTTAAAATAAAATGTTCCATAGACATTCAATATAACCATAATCGAATTGCCTGTTGAAAAATAACCACACCCCTGATCAACCAACTACAAACCGACAAAGACCCAAACAAACATAAAACACACATGCACACAAATACTCAGCTGCATGTAGATTATTATCATTTAACTGCTGCTGTCTCACGTACCTTCAAAACATCCTTGCGAACAGGCTTTGAATCGAATGATTGCTTGGAAAGAACTATGTTAACCATTGCTTTGATTCGTCGCGAAAAACCAAATACGCCAAACTCCTCAAATCTGCCACATAAATTGTTTCTATCAAACTATGAACTTACAATCGTCTACCCTGGTTTTTTCTGTTACAGAAACATTTTGGTAGCCGTAGAATCCATGCTGTCGCATAATTTGTTTACATTTGCAAATGGCTCACCGACTATCATTTGACCTCTCTGTTTTCAGGTCAAATACTCTAGAAAGGAGTTAACGATCTGTATTCACAGGGTATATCAGTAATTTCATTTCTGCTGAAATTGCGAAGAGATCTAAAACTACAACACCATATTACCTTATTTGTCAACGTCGAAGATCTCGTTATATAATTGAACCTACCTACTGTTATTACTTAAGATTTGTAAACATTAAACCAAGTGGAAAACTAATATCACAGCTGATATACACACATACGCGACTGTTGACTCGCAAATAATTTTGCAAAAAATAGTTCTATATATAATGAATCGATAAAAACAATCCAGTTATTTGTGCTTCAAGTTCTGAAATGAAAACATATAAATATATAGTTGTAGTCATTGTAACACGATGAAAAGGACTTAATCAAATAATACGTTGCAAGTACAGGTTTCAAGAGGCGTGGCGTTTACAGAGGCGGGAGGAGCTTAGTAACTCTTGAATTTTGATTGTGCTCCACTGATCATGCTGAGTAAAGTGACATCTACTTCCGTCACATTATCAGGCTTTAATCTCAGAACTTAAGTATTCAATGTATCACAACTTCATCAGGATATAAACACATTGAACGAATCAACAAAGCACTTCACTGTTTCCTTCGATGTCATTATTTTATACAGGGGCCTACATTGCAGAGGTTGATATGTTCGTTGCATATTTTCTACGAAACAGTGAGTATTAGAGAGTAATGAGAAAAACTGTTAAACTCTGGGGTTGGCATGCTTTAATCATAATGTACATGAAATAAAGTATTTCATAGCTTATTATTCTTTATGATATACACATTATAAGATAACTCACCAATTGTCCAATTTCTTCTCCTATGTGTTGTTACTTATTGATTATATGGAACTGATTTGTGTCGAACGCTTTATAGTGGAGGATTTTGTGACCTTTCATGTATAAGGTTACAATGCGCGCGCACTCCTCTGATTACTATTATGCCTACAACAAACGAATCACAGAAACGTGTAACTCCGCCTATATGTGAATCATATGCCAGCTTACAAAGAAACACTTTATTCAACATTTTGTATTTATTAAAGAAAATGAAGCCAAATGTCGTAATAAGGTAGTTATTACAGAAAAAAATATTACATTATAAAGTTATTATTTTGTTATTTTGCTAAATAGTAATTGCAAAAACAAAACACCACACGCACACATTTACAAATTCATTTTATTTATATTTCAGTTCAATTGTTTCGAAATGTATTCTGTTGCTTATTATCAATAATGTAAAAAACATAGTTGGGCATTGTTTCGAAGACCGCAAATTTCCCAAAATAATTAGCAACAAACTTCTGTTTTCTTTATCCGTTAAAGGTTATCACATTCAGTCCTAAAATCGCTCTCTTTTTTTATAAATGAATAATCTTTTTTATATTTATCTGAACTTAATCTATTCATTTCTAGCTGTATGCTAAAATACATTAAAATGAATATTTGCGTTTCTTGCAATTGGAACTAGTGTTGCAATACTCTTAAAACCTTAGAAATAGCATACATGTGGATAGCTTTTTACCCAACTTTCAGCTTTTTCTGGTTGATGTAACTTGTTCAAATTTGTCATTCACATTAAATTATATTTTGGTCAAAAACTCAATTAATAGTTTTTAATAGGTAAATTATGATAAGACAAGATCCTTTATAAGTAAATCGATTTTTCAGTGTTTAACATAACAACAATTCTAAGAGGCTTATTTTCATTTCGGGGTTTTTAAGGGTGTATGTCATTGTAAAGAAACTAAGGTTTATTTCCTAGACCGGTTCGTTTTCATGTTGGGCTTATTTGTGATATTTATGTCACCTCTTTTTCCTGGTCAACGACTGTGCTACGAGGTGGTAATTATAATTTTTAAATGTTTGAGAAACGAACAGTTTATGTAATTTACTCGGCATATAATTACCGAATTAAGTGTTTAAATTGTCTATGGTAGTTAGTGTACCTTCTCCAGTAACTATTGTGGCTACATCAAGATTAATATTTCAAGTTTTGCAACCTGCCTTTTTGGGTTATTGTTCTGTTCTTAATTGGTATATTCAACTGAGTAAAGAAAAAAAAATTAGAAAAATTGCAAAGTAATTTGAATTTTATCGATTTTTGAATTTAAGAGCTTTCATATTTAATCTAAAAGATACTTTTTATGTTGTTCAAGTAACGTGGCCGATTCATTAATTATTTCTGAGATCATTACACATCCGTGTTATTGTAATAATGAACAAATAATCTATGGTTCCTTTATACATAACTTAACGGATTTGGATGAGATGAGCTATTACTTATTATCTCATGACTTGTTTTGGTAATAATTTTCGATAATTCAAAGGACAAAGTTTTCTAACCATTATTTAATTAATCATGTTTTACATCTTAATACGTTTTCAAACTAGTGCGTTAGGTTACTTGATATTTGTTTAATGATTTTTTTATGTTGTATGTATGCACTTTCTTTTATTAAATCGTAATTAAATTGTAAACTGCATTGTACATCAGCTCAAAATAAAATATTGATGTTTCTTTTAATAACGTTAGAAGTAGGAAGGTAGAGGAGAACTCTCAGAAACAAAAACTGTGTGTATTTATTATTTATTATTTATTTCTAAAGATTGAGTGTATGTTTTAGTATTATATAAATATTCACTCTTAGAGTTAAAATGAGAATACGTGAATACTGAGCTCTATCACAACAATCTGTACATTTGAAATAGTGCGTTTTATAACAAAATGTTGACACTTTTTTTCCAGTACGATACGAATATTTAAGCATTGAACTGTTTTTGCATGATATTTTTGATCTATTTGAATGACACAGCTTTGCAAGTAAAAATCATTATCGGAAAAAGTTGGCCAAATCCAAGCAAAATGTGTGAACATCGTTTGATTCTGTCATGGTTAGATCAGCACAGTGTAACAGACGATACTGTTTTTCTGATAAATTGTTAAATTGTTGTAATAAAAGATTTTTTTTGATTAATTTCTTACACATTTACAATTACATTGTCAAGTCTCACAATACCCAGCGATATTTCATCTGCAGCTATGTTTTTTTACATTGGATATTGTAGTTCCGGTCAGTGTTGTATTAATACGCTAATAATTGTCTCGTACTGCATGGTAATTAAAGTCCCATCAATAACACAGCTTTCAAATAAACTATATAGTGACAATGCCATGCAAATGTAAGTTAGCATAAGTATAGTTTGTACACAATTGTGTTTGTATTATTTGTTTACGCGGACGTTATACCGGTAGGTGATTCCCCTATCTATTTTTAGCGTCCCTGTGATTCGCTGTATGGAGGTCCTCTTCCCATTGAATAGCGATATCTTTGATGATGAAGAAACATTTGAGCATAAGTATGGAATGAACAATTGTGATTGTAACAATGTAAACAGAGTAACCGACTTGTTAAGTTCAATAAGCTGACAAGTTATAAACATCGTCATTCCTGAACGTGTGCATTTAACACAACGATTATTGACTCATAGATATTTTTATGCAGAAAGTTTTCTTGATATTCAGCTGATCAAATAACTCACCGAATATCTGATCTCTTCTAAATGTTAATTGATAGAACTTTTCTTGCCCACTACGTTGATTGTGACCGTAAAGATGGGATTGTACAACGCAAGGTTAGCGTAAGTCCTCGCTCGAAAGGTTGTGCTCTGCGACCCAAGTGATTATATGCATATGGATTAGATATCAATGTCAGAGTTTGCTGTGAGGGGCCACACAAGTCAGCCTGATAACAAGTCAGTGTTGTGTGAATTGTGGAGCCTCCAACAGCTAATTCTGTACACAGTTTAACAGAGAGACAAAATTACAATTAAATTGATTCAAATTCAACCGCTCATTGTAATGATCCCAAATTGTATCCACCTCTTCTTCTCCATTTTACTACCGAAAAAAATCAATTTCAAAACGACTTTTCAGTCTCAAGTTATCTTGTCCGCAAACAGACATTGATGTGATTTTTCAGGACTCATTTAACGATAATTGCTCTGGTGACCATGCTGTACTTCTGATGAACAGGAAAATCAACACCATTTGTACAAAATCACTTCAGATAAATAAAAATATCGTTTGAGAAAATAATACAAGAAACGAAATGAAATTGAAAAAGTAAATGCACCTAGGTCAATGACTAGGGAACGAGATTAAGTGTATTACTGCCGAATGCAGTATATAAGTTATTTGCGTGAGTAAGTATAGTTACGGCAGAAACTATAGATTACCATTTTCAAGTATTATCACATCAATTGTTGGGTTATTGTCATCATAACAGTATATCAGTGGAAAGCAAAAAAGAATTAAAATAGCACTTAGAGGGCATGTCACACAGATAAACAGACAGGCATGTCACACAGATAAACAGACAGGCATGTCACACAGATAAACAGACAGGCATGTCACACAGGCAAACAGACAGGCATGTCACACAGATAAACAGACAGGCATGTCACACAGATAAACAGACAGGGATGTCACCGAATAAAATCACGATAGACATTAAACACGAGAAAATAACTCCACATTTAGACTGTGTGCACAGGTACTAGCTTCGTCTGTCAATACACCCAGTTAATATTTTGGGTGTATTGACATCATCCTCGATACCCCAGGGGTTACGCTCCTTTTTCGCTTGCGTAGAGAGCGAAAGTAAGCGTAGCTCCTGGTGTATCGAGAATGTATGACACGCGAGTTACTGTGCTCTTTGTGTTTGTGTGTGTGGATTCGAAGAAGTTGGTTTCAATGAGAGAAAGAGAGTAGATATTCAGTATTCGTGTAATAAATAACTGGTTATCCACAATGTTTACTGTCATTGTAATGCTGACCGCATTATCATTGTAAAATACAGCTAATTTTACAGGTACATTACATTGACATGGACACGCGTACGCACAACACGTTGTCGTGTTAACATCGTTTGCTATGCCATCATACAAATGAATTATTTTGGTCGTCCCATTTTGTGAAAATGATTGATATTGATATTAGTTATTAACTCACGTTCTAACATAAATATCCGATTATATACTTATAGATATTATGTGTACGCTTTGCTTATATCTATAAAACAAACACTGACATATACATATTACTTGTGTTTTGGATGGCATGTGTCCAAATCACGTTAGAGAGGACCCGAGTTAAATTAACACTCGGAGGTTTCTCTATTAAAGCAGACAACTGAGAAATGTCAAAGCAGCTAAAAAAATCACTTACCAGCAGCAACTATGCAACTGTATAATGATGTCTTCAACAACACAAGCTAACTGTGATTAAGATGCCGCAGCCGTTTATCCGACAACCGCGGTCACGTGATTCACCAAAGAGCACAAGTGGGGAAATTCCCTTTTCGTTTGTCGGTATATGTGTATGTGAGAGTGAATTGTTAAATGAATTGTTAATGCCTTTAAATTTTACTAAATGCACCTCTAGGAAGGTTAAAAAAGTTCGAGTGGAGGATAAACCATGGTTTAACGAAGTTTGTAAAAACAGATATATTGAATACAAAAACGCATTATTTAATTCTAATTCACTTGAGTCAGAGGAAAATAAGAACATTATTATATCTAAAAAGCGTAACTATAAAAAACTGGAAACTAGATTAAAGCGTGAATATATAGATCAACAAGGTAATATGATGGATTACTTGCGAAAAAGTAACCCTAAGGCTTTCTATAGTAGATTCAAGAAAAGAAAAAATAACGATAAGGGGAATCTTAGTGAACAAGATTTTTTTAAGTATTTTAGCGAATTGTCTTCAACGGAACCTGTTGAGAATGAAATGGTTAATGAGTTTTTAAATAATTATGATGTTAATGTACCAAATACTATGTTTCAAGAATTAGATGATCAGATATCTGATAGTGAAGTGTTTAAAGCTATCAATAAATTGAGTAACTCGAAGGGGTATGGTCCAGATCTTCTGATTAATGAGTATTTTATCAAGGGTAAAGAGGTACGTATGCCATGTCTTGTGGTACTGTTTAACAATGTTTTTAAATCTGGTTTTTATCCTACATCATGGTCGGTAGGTAATATAATTCCTATTTTTAAGAAAGGAGACAAGAACGATACCAATAATTACAGAGGAATTACTTTAGTAAGTTGTTTAGGGATTTTTTTTACATCAATTCTTAATGAGCGTCTTGCTAATTTCGATAGTGACTATTGTAAATTAAGTGATGCTCAGTTTGGTTTTAAGAAGAATTTATCAACTATTGACGCTATATTTGTATTACACACATTAATAAGTAAAACCCTGAAAAATAGAAATAGACTGTATTGCTGTTTTATTGATTACAAAAAAGCTTTTGACTTCGTTAATAGACAGAATCTGTGGTACAAACTTATCAAAGAAGGTATAGAAGGAAAGATGTTGAATATTATACGTTCTTTGTACAGAGATGTAAAATGTTGTGTAAAGTATAACAAAAACATGTCAGATTTTTTTCAATGTAAAAATGGATTATTTCAAGGGGAAATTATGTCTCCTCTATTGTTCTCTTTGTATGTCAATGATTGCGAAATGAATTTTTTAACAGAAGGGTGTCCTTCTATAGAGCTACAAACTATTAATATATTTTTAATGATGTATGCAGACGATATGGTGTTATTGGCCGAAACCTCTGAGGGATTGCAGAAAATGTTAGATACTTTATTACTTTATACAAATAAATGGAATCTTACGGTTAATACTTCTAAAACCAAGGTGATGGTTTTCCGTAACGGAGGTAAATTAAGAGATAAAGATAAGTGGTACTTTGATGGAGGTGTTTTAGATATTGTAGATGAATTTAATTACCTGGGTATATTAATGAATTTTAATGGTAAATTCAAAAAAACTCAACAAAAAATCGCTGAACAAGGAAGAAAAGCATTGTTTTCAGTATCAAACGTGTCTAAGAAAAAATATTTTAACGTTGAAACTCAGCTTCATGTTTTCGATACATATGTCTGTAGTATTTTTAATTATGGAGCGGAAGTTTGGGGCTTTCATAAAGCACCAGATATAGAGAAAATACATTTAAGTTATTGTAAAAGATTATTAGGGGTTAAGAAATCTACTGCAAATTTTATGGTTTACCAAGAATTAGGAAGATTGCCTTTGGAAATTATTAGGAAATTTAGAATTTTTAAATACTGGTTAAAATTAAAACAAACTGACAATTGTGTTTTACATGCATGTTATCAAGAAATGTTAGAAAATGGTAGTGAATGGATGAATGGAGTAAGAAACGAACTATTTAGAATGGGAGTAGGGTACATATGGCAATATGGAGATACCTATACATCCGATTATATTATGAATATTATTAAAAGCAGAATGTGTGATATATTTACGCAAGAATGTAAAGAAAAAATAGATTCATCTTCTAAGTGTCCATGTACAAGTTTATTGGCGAAAATTTCTGTTTACAACCATATTTAACAAAACCCATAGGAAATACAAATCTGAAAGAAATTACAAAAATTAGACTATCATCTCACAAATTAAATATTGAAATTGGTAGGTATAACAATGTAGATAGGATTGAAATAACATGTGCATACTGCAACAGTGGGGATATCGAAGATGAATTTCATTTTATATTAAAATGTGAATGTTATTTAGATTTAAGAAAGCGTTTTATTAAGAAATATTACTATGAAAGACCTAGCATGTATACATTTATCCAACTTATGGAAACTGGGAACAAAAAACAGTTAACAAATTTAGCCAAATATATTAAACTGAGTAATAAGAAAAGAAAAGACTATGTACCTATATAAAGAGGAATGTCTCTCTACACTATATATACCAATGGGTATGTGAGTGTGTATTTGTGGGTGTGGGTGTATTTGTGGGGGTGTATATGGGTGTGAGTGATTGTATTGTTTATCCTTGTATATATGTTTATTTTGAACTGTTGAGCCGTAAGGTTCAAGGTAATAAAGAACTGAACTGAACTGAACACATTTAAATTATTGGTTGCACACGACGTTTATGGTGATGTTTTATGAGGACAACCATAATTGGAATAAATATTAGTAAAGAACATAATTAATCGTCAAAATACAAAACAAAACATATCGCAAACTATAAAGACGCATTGTACTTAAATCTATCGACTATCATTCATTTAATTTATTTTGTCTGTCAATCAAATGAAATGCAGAATTAAAATTTAAACGCGAAAGGATCATTTAAAGAAAATGTCAACCCTTCAACAGTTCCTCAACTTTTAAATGCCGGTATGGACTAAGGAGAGAAAACGTTTCTATTCAGCTCTCTTGAGATTGGTTTTGTTTTGTTTTTATTATGTTAAACGTCCTACTAACAGCTTAGGTCATTAAAAAGATGTAAGTATAAATAAATGAATATACCGAAGGACATTAGTTTAATGTTGTATCGAATTAAATATCTGCGAATAACCGAATAAAAAAGCCAGAACTCATAATCAGCCGCCACGGCGATCCAGCCAAAGTATACATTTTACATTTATGGTCCTATAACACACATTTTCGCTATTGGTGACAAACTTAGTAAAATCCGGCATGGCTTTATGTAAGTTTGTCAGCAATAGAAATGTGTGTTTTAGTATCATAACAATATTTGCTAAAATATTGACATTCGATAGAGTAGTTACGTTTGATTTAGTTATTTCGAGCAGTTCTTTGAACAGCAAATTAAGCCTTGACAATAATGGAATTGATGACGTCACAATAGAGATAGATGACGTCACTATAGCAAATGTTGTTATAGTCTCACACAAATATTTGCCTTTTCAATGCGTTGCAATGGAAAGATGTTAGTGAAACACAGAAGTTGTTTTTAATCAGACGATGGCGTTTGTACTGTATTTATTATAAAAACAATAGAAAATACAGAAGAATACATAAATCTGCTATTAATTGCAAAATTTGCCTATTTTCGTTTCTCGTAACAATGACACAAATCAATTTTCAGAATTTATTTAAGAATAATGCAATAATGCCAATTTAAACACCTTGCACAATTAAAACTTACTCAAGTACATAATCTTTGATACGAATACACGATTAGTGAAATGTAATATTCATCAAAAGACAGACAGACAGTGCTGGTTTGTGGAGTTCTTAAGCCATAGACTATAATAAATGTGTTTCCATCGCTTGATATAGAATTGTCATTTTTTTGGAATAATCTACCACAAAGAGTAAATGCATCTTATCATGTTAGTCGTCTTCGGGCAATTTTGCATATGCCGTATTGAATTACGTATTAGTAGCTCAGTTTTTCATTCCTACTAGATAATTTCTAATATGACTGCATAGTCCTTATTTTGGTGATACAAACAAACTATGAATAAATAAACAAAATTCCTTCACAGAAATGGTAAAATGATAAATTGTAACACATGGTTTTATGTCTTTATCTTAATTTTCATATTTTGAGAACATTAAAAAAATATTTATTTGCTATGCATATTTATTGAAACATCTTTCATATCGCCTACACTCAGTGAAAGTTTTACGTGTCCAAAGGTGCTGTTTGGCTATATCAGGACTATAAGTGCATTATTCTCAGGCGAACTACGTCGCTCTGTCCTATATATATGAAATTTGTATAACATATGCTATCTTTAAGACGTGTTTGGCATTATACTTCGTTATATATTCTTTTAATAAAACACGATAAAAAGTTACAGCATAGGATACACATTATATATTTAATTAGTCGATTGTATCAATTGACATGATATGATCGTTTTAAGACTAACTCTCAATTGATTTGCTGAATGAAATGTTAAAGAATGAGCCGAAATACCCGTGTATTTATAACTTCTCTTATTAATTTCTGTAATTCCCTTATACGTTACATATAAGAATATAGTAATTCTTCTTTAATTTTGTCTTAATGTTACACATGGATTACTTTTTCAAGATCTCGGAATATTGTTGTATCTAGGCAACTTCAATTGCTAAACCATGTTTCAATCAACAAAATGTTGTTCAATATGTATTGTTTTATAAATTTATTTATGTAACAAAGACGGTTTCGTTCTTCATGAACATTTATTTCATTTCATTTAAGCATATTTAAGACATTCAAGACCCTACAGGGAAACAATACAAACTAATTAAATTCTAGTTAAAAGATATGCTTTACATTTATCTAAATTACTCGAAAGTTTGAAACATGAGTTAACATTTACTTTATAATGAAATATACATTTCATTATACAGATACCAAAATACATTACATTTATTCAAAACTTAATAAATCATATATACGTGTCCAATACAGAATTGTACACGAAGTACGTTATCTATGTACCTACC